TGTGTCTAGGTGATGAAGGTGTTTGCGCGCAGGTATGGCTGCAGATAATGAGCTCTGAGATGGGAAAGACTGTACCTCGAATACATAATCAGAGAATATTCGCTTTTGATTTGAATTTAAAAGTAGACCATTCAAGTGTTCTATAGACATATTTCTCACGTCTGTGTGTCAAGTATTCGCCGAGATTCGGTTTGTTTTTGTGACGCGTTTCAGAAAGAAGTTCACGGAGACCAAAACAGCAGAAAGCGCACCGTTTGTTTTGTTTTTTTCTACAAAACCACAATGTTTTGTTGTTATTGTCAGTGTACACAAATAAAAGTATACCTTTTATAGATCCGATTGATTTTAGTCTTATCTGTATCTGTAGGTCTTTTTCTCTCTTATCAGGAAAAACTGCAAGTGAACGGGCCGGTGCGCAGAGGGTTAAAGACGTTGCATTCAGTTTTAACTTTAGACTATACATTTAGATTTCAAATTCAATATTGATTTTAGAACTGTAACGCAAGTACTTTATAAGTAACTGTAATTAAATTACCTAAAAATGAACAGTAATCCCTTGCTTTACTTTTTTCAGTGGATGAGTAATTTAATTAGGCTACAGTAATGCGTGTTTAGTAGAGGTAGCCCTCTGGTGGTGGACCACTGCTTCAAACCTACACATCATACCACAGAACAATGGCAAAAAGACATTGTTTCTGATACAGCTTGATATAAAAATATCAGCAACATCAAGGCCTAGTGAATACAGGCACTTCAGAATGGGAAATTGAATTCATGTGATAAACATAACTATTGTCACTGATGTGACACTTTTTCACTTCTACACTTCCCCTTCTCCACCCATTTAAAAAAAATAACTATGACCACATCTTAAGCTACAGTACTTTCTCAGAATCCATTTCTGCTTGTTAAACTAAAAATGTCATCTGCTCTACTGCATGTGTTAAAGTCATTATGAAAATCTTTGGAAAGACTATGCTGATTATCTTTTTCTGTTAGGTTTGAGCCACCAAGCTGGAAACTGGCTGACATCTTTAAAATGGTTTTGCCACCCAAAAACCAGAACTCTCTGGTGGCTTATGAGACAATATTTAAAAGAAAAATAGACTAACAACAGATTGCACTCAGGTCATTCAGGCAGAAAAGGAAAATAGAACAGAAAAATCTTCAAATAAAAACAATCAACTATATAAACCATATAAGGTTTCAAAACCTACAACACTCTTCTTCATAAATAAATACACACATAAATCTCAAACAATCACTCAGAAGAGGCAGGAGCTTAAAGGTGGGAAACTTTATATTACCAATACCACAGACAGCAAAAGGAACAAGTTTGGGTTTCATATTCAAAAAAATAATTAAATCAAGAGGATCAGAGGATAAACTGCTTTATAAAATGCTTAATTTTTTTTGTATAAAACAATGGTATTTTTTTTTCTTCATAAGCGGAAGTTCAGGTTTTGCACAAAATGCCATAAGTAGCACATTTCATTTATAAATCGACCAATCAGAATGGATATTCAAATGACACAAAGTAATTCACTTCCATCAAAAATGCAGATAACGCAAACTGCCCAAAAAAAATTAAAAAAAGTAATAATATAAAAAATATATACAGTATATAAAAAAATACAAAAAATAAAATTAAAATATATAATACAACCAATCGTTATCAGCAGTAACCATTCAAGCCAGTCAACAGTCAAAAATATGTAGTTCGTCATTCGTTCATCTAGCTTACTCATTAACACAACAGGTGAAGCAAAGTGCTTCGTTTGTGTGTCAGTTTGCATTTTAAAACAATAATGAGCTATGCTGCATTTAAATTTAACAATTGTTTTAATGCCTAAGAAACAATAAACAATGTTTAAAAAGGCAAAATATTTCTAAATAGAATTATCAAAGTCCAGGAACGCGATTCTACTGAGGGGGGCTCAAGTCTGTCACGGAATGCCAGGAGAAAACAAGGTAGATCCAAGTGCAGTAGTTTCATGATCAGAACAGAAACGACAGGCAAGGGACTATGGGAAATGGAGTTCAAAACATGTAACACTGAAACGGGAGAGCGCCCTCAAGTGGCCAGTCCAGGGCACCACAACCAGACACTGTGACAAAGTCAATATGCTGTTCAGGGGGCCATAGCAGCGCCCCTGCATTCAGTGCAGTAAGTCAAAGATTAGAAATACTAAGCAGGTGCACTCGCATTACTATGAATCGAAGAAAGTGCAACACACAATATGGCGGTAAAATTACGGCCTTGTAAATAAAAGGGCCAAACTACCGTTTGGAGCTCCGGTTGCCAGTGTTCTGAGACATGCGCTTACTGCATGCGCATTGGCTGGTCCTGCCTAAAATACTGTATAAGGGTTTTTAATTCTGTTTTGACATAAAAAACCAACTTTATGGGGACAGTTCATGTCAGATTTGGTTGCTATTTGAAATATGTTATATGTGGCAAGCAGTTCCTAAAATACTGTATAAGGGTTTTTAATGCTGTTTGATCATAAGAAACAACTTTTATGGGACAGTTCATGTCAGATTTTGTTGCTGATTTGAAATATGTTATATGTGGCAAGCAGTTTTTAGGATTTCAGAATTTCCCCATTCAAGTAGGTAGGACTTGCATGCCCCGGAATATCTGCTCAGAGCCATTGCAAATATGGCCGCCGAGTGAACAGACTTTCCTTGAAAGGGACTTTCCAGAGAATAAAGTCCAGGGAATAAAAAAGGATTAGGACATCTTGATCAGAAAAGAGGAACAAAGGTCTATGGTTTTGGCACTCTTAGTATGAAGTGAATTACTCTACACTAAATCAAGAGACTTTCTCAGGAAACCTGACCACAGTTTATTGGCTTTGGAGCAAGGAAATGTAGTAGCTGCTAAACAGTGGCTTACATGTTAATGCTAAGAGGTCACAGAAGCAGACTTGTGAAAACCATTGTTTCCAATTCTAAAGCTTATCAAAAGCATGAATCAGTTTGCTCTGCAAAACCGTCAAAATCATACTCACAAATATATACATGTTGATTTCACTATTATTTTTAGGTTTTCTCAATAAAAGTTCTTAATTATGAATCTTACTCTTTTTGAATGTTTTCTTTTTAGGTTTTCTATTAAAAAGTTCTTAATTAGCAAGATTATTTTAGAGATAGACTGGTAGTATGATTGTCAAAAAAAAAATTTCACATTTGGATTTGATCAGTGTTTAAATATCGGCCTCCCCATTGACCGGTACTGCTAAAAATTCAATTACAATGAAACTCTTTTAAACTTTAGTCATGCACTCCGGTCTGTCTCTAACAATCCCTCCAGTCTTTGGAATTGAATTACAGCTTTCTTCCCCAGTGCCTTCCTGGGACTGCAAATTGTGGCCTTCTTCCATAAGTGCTCTGCGATAAATCCCTGATATGCTTTGTCTGAAGCGTTGCCTAACATCCAG